AAAAAAAAAAAAAAATAGAAAATTATCAACCAAGAATAATTATATAACGTTCTCGAATAGTTACGTAACGCTTATTAAGTGGCTCGATTCCATTATATCGGAATTAAACGGAAACCTATGATAAAAAATATTGTGTGTAAAAACAATTCTCGTTTATCTTCATAATTCTTCCATAATTAACCCGTTTCCAGATTTTTCTACATCAATCGATACATTTTCCTATATCAACCTTCACCGCGAATAGACTCAACCTCGCTGGGGTTGATCATTTGTCCCGTACGACGCTTGATACAGCCTTGAACTCCGAAGAAGGGGTTGGCGATGCGAAAATATCCTTCTCGCGGCGAAGGATAAGTCGCGAAAGGGGAGAACGCGCGTTAACGAGCGACTCACATGACGGTGTGTCGGATGTAAACTCGATTGGCTTGTCTGAATGAAACGAGGCAGCCCACGGGGGTAGACTTTCTGAAACCGTGGCTCGCTGGAACTACTACTCGGTGGAAGCAATCTGTTGCTTATGCTTCCCATTCACAAGTCTCGCGAGTTCCACGAGGACGGGAGAGGAATAAATATCATCGACGTATAAATGACACGGGGGATCCTTTACAACAGGTCATTAGTTGACTATTGTGTTTGCTTCGAATCGAGCCGGAATATTTCCCGGTTTTACAATCGACCGACTCGAGATTGCAACCAGTTGCGTTAAACAAAAGCGATTCTCTCTCTCTCTCTCTCATACGCGTTAGTAAAGTTAATAAGGTTGGATCTGTTCTTTACCGATGATTCGACCAATTGTTTTCCCAGTTTATCCCCTTTTGTCTGCTAGATGTCTGTTTACACGAAATCGGATAAAACCCTTTGACGAGTGGAACAATCGATGCTCGACGTGTGAGTAATTAAACTGTACGCGAGAGCGATTTTTTATTTTTTTCAATTTTTCGCATCGAACACGATATACAATATCTTTATTTTCGAATTATTTTCGATCGTTCATCGTATCAAATTTTCTTCAATCAATATGGGAATGTATTTATTAAATTATGAATTGAATGTATTTGGACCAAATTAATTAGTACGTAAATTAATTCTACAATAAATACAATCACGCATAAGTACCTTTGTAACGATTGTTTTGTAATTATTAAAGAGGGAGGAGAGAGGGATTAATACGCGCGATTTATCGAAATTGATCGAGTTTAACACAAAGGAAGGGAGATATTCGATTTTTAAATCTTCTTATAAAATTCAGAGGAATTTTCATAGATTAGCGATGGATCTGATGATCCCCGGTGGCTGCGGATCCATAAAATTTATAGGCGCAACACTTTCGACATGCCTGCGGCAAACAAGATTTTATACCGATATAATAAACATCCTCAAATTACCAATTTCACAAAATAATATCACACGATGTATATAAACAATACTTTAAATCTTCGTAAAAATGAAAATGAATAAATAGAATCTATAATACGATACGATAAAAATCGTATAAAACGTCGTATAAACATAAGGATCAATATTTTATTAGACGATATTCTATTAACAAACCATTATATCCATTATTAGGTTTACCCTTGCGAGCGCGCAAATGCGAGATCGGAAGCGAAATATTCGAAATTCCATTTCTGCGGGTACCCCCGATTCATTACCTCGAATTTCCTTGGTCGATCCTATATTATCCCCTTTGGCATCTCGAATGACGTCCCACCCTGTTTCTCCAGCTGTGCGCATCGATCGAATCGGATAATTATATCGGTGCGGTTACCGGCTGCGGTTCCAACGACGATTACACGAGTAAGAATTTCCATGTCGTGGCTCCAGTACAACCAATAGTTGTACTCGCTCGATTAGCCATAAAATCGCGTCGAAGGGCGGTAATCCTTCGAATAAACGCACGTGCGCGAAGTTAACGTTACCGTTTATCTGAATCGAATCGATCGATTTTCCTGTGTTAATTGGCGCGACATGCACGTGGATCGTATCCGTTTCGCGCATTGTCTGTCCCATTCATTCGTGATTTAATTGGGATGCACATCTCCATTCGTGGAGATGGAGTTTTTGAAGTATGGACAACGGTGTAACGTCGAAAGGGCATAGTTTACGGATGAAAATAAAAAAGGAAGGGTGACATCGATATTTTGCTGCAAAGTTGTAACTAACGATAGATAATTTTATTATGACTTAAATTAAGATACGATCAATATGTTATTTATTTATACTATGTCCTATTTACTTCATGGTTTAAAGTTTTTTATCATGTTTTTGATTAAACACGTGAGTTTTAGATCGATTCTCGAAGGATTGCCCCGTTGTTCTCCACGATTAAAATTCATTCGCATACTCGATGAAAAAAGGGCGACGAGTCAGAATTTATTTTCAACGATTTTTCGATATTCGCGATGATCGAGAATATATGAATTTTCATCAAACGAATATATTTTAATCACCAAAGAGAAAGAAGAGAAAGAATTAATTTAAAATTCAACTCAAATTAAAAGCGTCACGTTATTAATTTCCGATAGATTCAAACTAAAAAAATAGAGAAACGAGATAAATCAAATTTTTATTTTTTCCCCGTTAATTCTTTTCACGTACGCGTCACCAGCCAGTTTTCACGAATAATAATCACGGAGAAATTGGTTGTTCAACTGTGCGACCGATAAATTATCCTCGCGATAATTACATTTACTTTTGACCAGCATCGCTTCGTTAATCGCAACTAAAAAATTAGGATTGGCGCTGAATTATCGCGTGGCCGGTGGATATCATTCTCTCTCTCTCTCTCTCTCTCTCTCTCTCTCTCTCTCTCTCTCTCTCTCTCTTTCCTTCGGTTCCCTATTTTCAAAGAGAAATCAACTCCGGTTTTAACATGGTTTGACGCGTAAAAAAAAACGGGGACAAAGGTGTTGGCCGGGAAACGAAGGCCGTAGGGAGCGGAGCGTGCATGAATCTAGAGAGGAAGAGAACGGTGAACGGCGGGTTGACGCGTATTGTCGTAGAAGTAATTGTGTTTCGGTTTGCTGGATCCGTCTGGTTCGATGGTTCGAATCAGACTGAATGTTCGTTCGGTTTGATCAATAAAAGTAACGCGCAAGCGTGCTCGTCGGCTGGCACGTGAAAGCCTGCGAGTCCTTGCCCCTGCATCTGTGTCCGATCAGGGAACGAATAGATGATAAAGAAGAAGAGGGTGGATCACGGTGGCAAGGGATGATGCACAGTGGTGGATGATGTACAGCGGTGGATGATGGTCGGGACTGAAAGAAAAAGGGATCTTTGACGCTGCAAGAAAAAGGTTGCTTGATTTCTTTGACGTTGTCTTATCAATGTCGGTGTCTCTTGTGCCTTTTCCATTTTCCACCCTCTTCTGTTTCTTTATTATCCATTTTTTTTTTTACTTTATCTCGCTGCAACTGAGAAACGTGGTTCGTTTTATCGCCGAAAAGACATTTTGTTTATATTTTCGCTTTATTTTTTTTCTATTTTTCCCTCTTTTCTCGTTTTTTCGCGAGCAACTAACGAGACGAGTATCGTGATATTACAGTTAATAATATCGCGGCGAGTTTTCAGTTTTAATTTTTCAATAGGAATTCAATTTTATTTCTCGTTCTCGCGTGAGAAAATCACAACAATATATTTTCATTTTTTTTTCCCATTAAGAAAAGAAGATTGTTGCGTGATTGTTATGTATTTTTATTTCAACGATCCGTAAAGCTTTCCCTTCATTGTTCAAGTCGCGAAAATTCGAGGCTAAAAAATATTCGAGACCTCCTGGTGACCTTCTAGAAGTTCATTTATCATTCAGAATACTTCCTACCTAAGTTTCGCTCGTTTATTTTCCCTTAATTTAACTCTGTTTCTCTTTGTTTCTTTCCTCTCGGTACTTTATTCCAAAAATGTTAATAAAATTATCTACCAGCGGCATGCTCATCTGTTACAAGATTTCTGACTGAAATTAAATGTCGCTGAACTTTCGTTCCATACCAAACTGCAACGG